GAAAGGTTCGCACCTTGCGAACCCAAGCTCCTGGGTGCAAACCCACAAGCTGGGTTTGCGAGGAACCCAAGCTCCTAGGTGCGAACCCACGAGCTGGGTTCCTTGCGAACCCAGACTCCTGGGTTCGCCTAAAGGTAAAAGGAGAAAAAGAAAAAAAAAGAAGAGGCCGGAGGAAGGAGAGGATGGGGAAGAAAGAAGAGGGTAAATTAGTAATTAAAGGAAAAAAATTTTACCATGTCATCAATATTTGAGGGCAAATCAGTAATTAAAAGTAAAAAATTTAACCATGTCATCATTTTTCGCCAGATGGATATTCCACGTAATTTAATAAAAAAAACAAAATAAGTTTTTCTGTTAATTAACTTGCCACATCAGCTAAAATTTATCGGAAGGACTAAAAAGGGGTCGGATTTGTGAATAGTAAGGACCAAAAAGGGGATTTTTTTGGTATAGAGACCAAAAAAGGGCTTTTTTCTATAGTAAAGGGACCAAAAAGGGTATTTAACCTTAAAAAAATAGTAGGGTTATGTTATTGATAGAAAGAGAAAAATGAATCACCAGTGAAGTTTACTTATTTACTTGTTTATTCATTACCCTAATAATCCTGATGTATCTCATTGAATATGCCATTTTACAGCATTAGCTGTTTATTCATTACACCATTAACTCTTTTAGAGATATAATGAGGATGCTTTATGGATACTTGTTTATTCATTATTTATAACCCTACCATTTGGGCTTACAAATTTTGGAAAACTCTTCAAAATGGCTAAACAAGCAAGCAATACTAGTGGATCTTGGGTTTGATCCAAATAAACGTGCAATACCATAAGTTTTTGTAGAGGAAAAATTGCAGAAGTAAAACTCTCTTGCTATACTAATTTTAAGTAGTTTCTCTTGCAATACCAAGAAAGGGGACATATTAGGAAATTGGAAACAAAGGATAGAGGTAGAGAATTTTTCATTATAAGGAGTTCTAGCCTCTAAGTTTATGGTTCGGCCGTTTGGATAGTTTGTCAGAGGTAGAAAAGAAAGAAAAAAAAAACATGTAATTCTATTTGAGGAGGGTAGAATCAAGCTTTGTACCTAGTTTGGAAATTTTGGCAGTATTAGAATGAAAATAAAGTGAAATTGAATTGGAATGAAGGTTGCTTTGAGAAAAAAAAAAGTTGTTTGTTAACCTTAAAAAATGTTTCTTTTACACAAATCAGATTGTCTTTTTAGGGTATGTTGTTTCAGATAAAGAAATTGCAGTAGACGAAGAAAATGTTAAGGCTATTAAAAAAATGCTGACACCTAAGAACATTTTTGAAGTGTGGAGTTTTCATAGTTTGGTGAGTTTCTACTAGATATTCATCAAGGATTTCAGCACAATTACATCTTCGTTGGCTAAAATCTTGAAAAAAGATTTAAGTGGGAAAGTGAATAGTGAAAAAGTGAATAGGAGAATGCTTTTAATTTAATTAAGGAGAATTTAATTTGTGCACTTTTACTTGCTTTGCCTAAATTTATTAAAACTTTTAAAACTGAATGTGATGCATCAAGTATTAGTATTGGCATTGTTTTGATAAAAAAAAAGAGAGCAGTGGCCTATTTCATTTTTCAGTGAAAAATTGACTGGTGTAACACTTAACTATTCTTCTTTTAACAAAATCATCCAATTAGTTGCTGAAGGACATTTTGTGTCGAGAATTTTACTAATAGGTTGGAGAAAACATTTTTACTTTAAGAGAAGAAAGAATAATAATAATAATAAAGATACTAATCTAGAGAGAGAAATATTGGTGCAGGAGAGTAACAGTCAATCATTATGATTTCAATGTTATACTATTATTAATTTTTTGATAAAATTATCGATCTTTGTTTTTTTTGCTTGCTTTGAACTGCCAAACTTTAACTTCCTTTAAGGGGATGTTAGACCTTTGAACCAAAGAAAGAAAGGATATGTTTTCTTTCATCAACGTTGCAGTTTCTAAGCAAATTTGTATTGCTTTTGACGACCCTTTTTCCATCACCAACCTCCAACCAAAAAGGGTTGAGGGATTGGTGAGTTTGTGTTGGTGGGGGTACTTTTGTAAACTCAACTATTTCCTCTTCTTTATCTTTTGAATAATTAATTCACCATTTCCATCCGCGGGAAGTAACTTCTATTTGTTCCAAATCCCCTGTAGCTCAAATGTTCAACTTGCTAATATTCTTACTAAGTATTTGCAAAAGCAGAGTTTTGAAATGTTGAAAGAGCAGTTTGGAGGATAATATAATATAATATAATATATGCTAAGCATGTATTATAATTAAAATAGAAATCAAATTATATATTTGAGTAAACTGTTTTCAACTTTAATAATATATAGATTTAGAAGTCATATTATTTTATGGTAATTGAAGTCAAATTTGACAACAATTGATAAGAAATTTTATATAATTATTGTTATAATATAGTAAAATATAGTTGAATTTAAATTTGAACCACTATATAATTAAAGTTGTTAAACCAATTTGAAATTGAAATATAAAAAGGGAAGTGTTGCAATGAATTGATAAATAAAATTACCATTTAAAGTAGTCTTTTTTATTTGAATATAAAAAAATTAATCTTCTTATTCAAGTGATCTAGGAACATTAGCAAAATATAGAAATTTGGCACATCATTACCGGTTATGCAGTCCTAAAAGTAAATTGATGAAAGGACAATAGTGTTACTTTGCCTTTATTATTATTTGATTTGCATGATTTTTTCTTTATTATTATTTGATTATTTTTTGTTGATAATTAAAAATTCTGATAATTAACTGTTTTGTTGAACTTAGTTACCATCTTCGTTTGCTTGATCCGAGAATCCTAAATAATGAAGCATCTTGGTTTCAAGGGTTTTGTTTCCTTGCCATTTATTGTACCATCCAATTAATTATTCAGCTGTTGAATTACCAAAAGTGAAAGGTTGCTCACTGAAATGTTTGGTTACTTGCCTTCAGTTTCTTGACTGACTATTTCCATTTTGGTTTTAAAAGTTAATGTTAATTTTGTCCTTTGGTTGTATGTTATACAATCAAATCAACCAACTTTAGTTTTGTCTTATGACAATTAAATCAATTTACTTTTTCAGTTAATTACAAAAGCGTTACATTATTACATGAAACGTGTATCATTGAGTTTCCTCGACGGATACTAAATTTCACTGTTTATATTAAATGATTCCTTGATGCACAGGATGGCCGAGCATGCTTACCTTTTAGAGGAAGCTAATGAGGAGAGGAAGTAATGTTCTAACTATAGACCCATAATTGAGCATGATGGGCTTCCTTGGTAGCCGTCTGCTAACCAGGAATGGGGACTTTATTTTCAAGCTAATTGTTTCTTAAGTCCATTTTACCGTTAGAATTTAAATGCATGAAAGTGTTAGGTAAATGATGTCAGAAATTGCGATATAAAACTAGATTACCTGGTTTTTGCTGAGGCTGCCATGTTCAAATTCTTGCAAATGAAATTCATATTGACCATTGGTATTAAGAAGTCCATAAAAATACATGATATTCATTACTTTTCTCTTGAGTGGTAAAAGTTTTGAAGTTGTGATAAGAAACAGCTGAATTAGTTGCTGTGAGCTTGAATTAGAACGATCAGAAGATTTGTAGAGTGATGTTTGACTAGTATTTATCTACTCTACTTTGGGATTCATTATATTTAGTTTTGACAATTGTTTTTGTTTTTCGTAAGGAAACAAACAAGGGCAAGACAAGGGAGGAGACATAGGCTGAAGAAAGGGATTAATATAAGGTTAAACCCTCATTTTGGTCCCTCAACTATTGTACGGACCCCCGACTTAGTCCCTCAACTCAAAAAATCCCTGATTTGGTCCCTACTGTTTACCATTTTTACCCCAATTTAGTCCCTCCGTTAAAAATCCGTTCTGTTAATTAACTGAAGCATGATGATGTGTAAAAATAACGTGCCACATCAGATCCACGTATGAAAAAAAGTGATGAAATGAAAAAAAATAATATGTCAAAAAAATTTTTTAATTCTTTTTTTTTTTCTTTCTTCTCTTTCCTTTTCTTTACCCCTTGGAACCCAACACGTTTACTGGGTTCTTTCGAACCCAGGATGCCGCCTGGTTTCGTTCGAACCCAGGAGGACGAACCCAGGAAGCCAGGCGTCTTCCTGGGTTTGAACGAACCCAGGAGGATGCCTGGGTTCGTCCTCCTGGGTTCAAACGAACCCAAGAGCAAAAAGTAAAAAAAAAAAGAGAAAAAAATTTTTTTTTTTGTGGATCTTGTTTGTTGTTTCATGATGATGAAGGAATTGATTGATGAAGCAGGCTAGGCAAGATGAGGAACTGGGAACTGGGGAATGGGAAGAACGGGGGAGAAGAGTTTCAAGATTTGCAGGAGGTGGGGCCCACTCTTTTTTTTTTTATTTATTTTGGATCTGAATCATACTGCCATGTCATTTTTTTTACAGGTGTGCATATGAGGTGTCATTCTATTTTGACATATCATCATGCTTCGGTTAATTAACCAGACACGTCATTGGATTTTTAACGGAAGGACTAAATTGGGGTAAAAATGGTAAACAGTAGGGACCAAAACATGAATTTTGATTGTTTATTTGGGATTCTCTCATGCCATATGCCCTGCTAATGTAATGATATTTTGGATAATCATTTTTATTTTTCTTTTTTTTTTGCATCTTTGTCTCTTTGTTTATTTTGTCTTTAAAAAAGAATATGTTACTTGAGGTTCACACTTTGGAATTTATTCTTTATTTTGAATGTCCTATAGTGTTTTTTATGTTTATTTTTTAGGTGATGAGGGACAAAATAGAGGAATACACACAGGAAATCAAAAAAGCTGGAAGAATTGGTTGCTTTGTTAAACAAGCAAAAGTGGGAGGGATAGCACCATTACCAACCACTACAAGAAAACCGAGCTTCACCGACCACATATCACCGAGGTAAGAAGGTTTCTCGGTGAAGCATCCATTTACCGACAAGATATACGTCTGTCACTTGAGCAACAGTAGAAATGGCAGTAAGATATATTATTTATTGTACAGACATAAAACTCGTCGGTAATTTAACAGAATACGTACGTGTTCCTTGTCGGTAATTGTAACCAAAACTCCGGCCGGCGTGGGGAAGGAGGAAAGGCATATTACCGATAAGAAGTACACCTGTAAATTAATTTGAATGAGAGTCTCGTCGGTAATTGAGGATCAATTTCCAACGTCCATCTCCTCGGTAATTTCCACTCCCAATGCACCCCCCCTCCGCCAACCAGCTGGCTGCCTGAGTCAGGGGTGCAGCTTTTTGATAACATTTCCGACATAGTGCTTGTCGGTAACTTGCCCTTCAGCAACTCCCCGCGAATCCGGCTGGTGGCCACTGGCAGTGCAGCTTTTACTTTGTTTACCGAATAGATATAGGTCGGTAACATGTGTAGTTCCAACTTGATGCTCGTCGGTGATTGTCCAGTGAACGGGAATCCTGATGCAACGCAGAGATGAGCAGCTTTAGACTGTAGCAATGTGGGTTTCGTCGGTAAGCTTCCCTATGCCCTGCCGATCCGCCCTTCTGCTTTCATTTTGGTCTTTCTCCTTTCATTTTCATTTTCCTCTTTGTCCCGAGTTGCTCTTGCTCCCCTTTCCTCCATTCTTCCATTTGAAGCAGTTTAACACATTTTTCTTGTTGCAATCTAGTAGATCAAGCAGTGGTAAGTAAAATTTAAGTAGTATTATTATTTTTTATATATTTTATGTATATTTT